GTTGACCAGTGGACCTCTCCACCCGGTTGTGTCAGGTCAGCCTAGAGGGACACCTGGGAGCAACATCCGGGCCAAACCCATAGGTACATCCTCTCCGTGTAGACCCGACGCATCTGTTTCCCCCCTCCAGGTGCCGCCGGCAGCGCCGTCTGTTACGGGGGCCACGCCCCGGAGATGCGTGCCGCCTCTTCGGACATGCCACAACACCACCCGGTTGTGCTAGGTCATCCCATAGAAACACTTGGGAGCAACGTCCCCTCCGTATAGACCCGATGCGGCTGTTTCCGCCCTCCAGGTGCCGGCGGCGGCGCCGTCCGTGAGGGGGGCACACCGCAGACGTGAGGGGGTCACACTCCGGAGACGGGTGACGGGCGTTTGCAACCGCCACAAAACTTCTGTCGGCATAGCTGTTTTTGATTTAAATAAAATATAAGGACCTATATTCAAAAGAACATGACGACACATTATTAACGTGCTCGAAAAAATACAAACTATATATATATTCATAATCTATGATTTTTTTACAAAACTACATATATATGCATATAATAATACATAAAAAAGCATATGCTACATGTCTGTTAATATAATAAAAAAAGCATAAAAATAACTATGCCGACGGCAATCCGACGGCATTGCCGTCGGCATAGAGACGACAGGGTTTAGGCGGGCGACGTGCCGCGGATCGCTGACGTGGCTGGTATGCCGACGGCAGCCGTCTGCATACGTGCTGGATGGTGCGCCGCGGATCAATGACGTGGCATGCGGAGATATGCCGACGGCCGCCCATCCCCACCGTCGGCATAGATTTGACAATGTTAGCCGATGGTCACGGGTGGGTTCACCGGGCCCACGTGTATGCCGACGACTAGTTTATGCCGACGGTAGCTGTCGGCGTGTTCTCAGCTAGGCCGGCGGCTATTTTGTGCCGATGGTTGCCGTCGGCTTAGACCGGAGTAGCCCGACGGCCAGGATGTGGCTGTCGCCATAGCTCAATCTAGACCGACGGCGGCCGTCGGCATTGTTTTGGCCGTCGGGGTAGGACTCTTTTTCTGGTAGTGGGCGTAGCAGAAGAATCCAGACAGGGCCTGAGGCAACCTCTTGCGGAGGCCAGGGTCAGAGCAGAGGGCATAGGTAGACATGTGTGGTTGGGCAATCCTCACAACATGAACTATATACCTATGAACATTATTACCCATCAATAAAGTGTGTGAGATTTCTAAGAAAAAAATGCACTTAGTTTGTTTTCGGTAAAAATCCGCCTAGATTATTAAATCGGCTAATTTGGAAATCTATTAATAGGTGGGACCTACCCTCCTAGCGTTTAATATGTACTTGCGTTAGCTGCCTCTAAATTAATGACAACACATCGAGATAAGTATATATACTAGTTTATAATTAGAACCTACTAAATGAATCAAATGCAACCAATAAATTTTCCAGCAAGATGTCACCCATGCATAATTTAAGCATGAAGATAAGTGAGCGTTTTCCATAGCACACTGCCTATATATAGAGAGCCTAAGTGATGCACAATCACACATCAATCAAAAACATACATATACCTAGTCACCTGCCTGCATAAGTATTGGTCCGCATCTTTCAAAGTTGATTGATATGGCTAGTGCTAGAGCGGTTGCCATGTTCTACCTCGTAGTTTTTGTGACGGTCTTTTTTTTTTTCAAACCATACATGGGCAAGTAAGTCTCGAGCTGCCATCGAAAAAGATGAGGTGATGGAACACTGTAAGTTCAATATTAGGAAAGGTGCGCACTGGCCATTCGAACCAAGCCACGCATGCTGCCAAGTAGTGACGCGTTCAGTAAACCTCCTGGCAATTTGCAATGCGTTTACCGCTGCAGATTTGGCTCAGATCAATCTACGGAGGTGGGCTGCCGTCACCCGTTCGTGCGGCAACGCCTTGCATGAAGGAGATAACTGTGCAGGTTTGTTTTGCTGTTGCTATTAACGTATACTTGATGTGTTTATAACTTTATATGTGTTTTGTTTGAGAAAAAAATCTTTATATTGTCACATATCTTTGCTTACTTACTATCTCCATGTATGGAAATTAGTTAATTAAGAGATTTTTAATATCATTTGCAGGTTACATTGTTCACTTTTGAGTTGGGCGCTCCGTGCAAAGCCGATCTGGTCGATGGACAAATAGAAAAAGAAATATTATGATACAATATTTTTCATGACATCTGCGTAGTGTGTTCTATTTTTTCCGAAGCAACTAATAAAATTGAACCATTTTCCCCTTCTATTTGATCTTGCAAATCTAGTTACTCACCAAAAGTTAATTCATATATACCAATATAAAAAGGGCACGTTGTGGAGATTCAACACATCGCATCCATTCAAAGACGATAGCCCACAATGAGATTTGTACATTTCTCGCAGTCGATATGGAATGCAAATCGATCTTTTTTCCATGTCTTTGCGTGGAATGAAAAGCTTGTGTCATACGACATGGAAAACCAGAGATCTTGTGTCATCTTCAGTTTTTGAGAGGGATTTTAATCTCCGATGCGATCCTTATGTCCCCAGTTACACGGAATAGTTGTCAGATGGTTTGCTAAAAGCAGCACCGTGATTGCCTACCGAGTTTGCACCCGACCGGTTGGTACCTTCATATGAGTCAGGTGTTGAATATGGGTCAGATTTTCTATGTACGCAGCTTGGTTTTCTTCTGGAAGTTTGATGTTCTAGTCCATGCCTTTGTGGCGCTTTGAACAGTGTTATTTAAAAAGGGTCTGCTATTGTGATTATACTTAGTCCGTAGTAACTTCAATTCGTTTGCTTTCATGTACTAGTTGTGGATCGTGGTCACTTGTGAGTCACTCCTGTGGTGGCAAATCCGTGGATTTAAGAATAAGTTACCTATGCTTGGGATTACCTACATTTTCACATTTCTTTCGATTTATTTCCTGTAATGATCTGCATGTTCACCTGAACCACATTCGTATGTATTTGGAAACTGGATGAATGACTCTCCCGTTTGTTGTTCGCTGCTGCAATGCAAGTTGTGAAGTAACTTTGTCCTAGTCAACAAATTCATTTCCTTCTATTTCTTTTGATATATTGATTTGCACAGTTAAGACTAAAGTTCACCAGTAACCATCCTGATCCATGAACACTATTGTGTTATCTTATTTTTTCTTTTGTTAATAATAACCAGTCCATGACCAATATTTTTCCATCTTAAATTCCTGGTTAGCCTATTCATGCTGCTGGACCTAGAGGTCATTGGTTCAGTTGCTTGCATGCCCTCTCTTACAATAGCTCTATATAAGTAGAGAGCGGGACCAGGGTTTTACACACCGACTATAGTTCTTTCCAACCTTTTGATTCAGACTGAAGGTGCACATGAGCAGATCCTAAAAATGAAGCATGGTGCAAATCGGAATTATGTAAATTGTCAACTTGTGGTTGTCCAAATTGGGATTAACTGAAAAAAGAAACAGACCTATGAAGTTGAATGTTGGATTGATCTGTCCGACTGAGAATAAGATTCTGATCTTATCACTGTACGAGGGAGGTGAAGAGGGAGAGCTCCTTGCGGAGCTGCATGTTGAGGGCGGAGACGCCTGTGCCGACGGGGGTAGCAAGGCCACTCTTGAGGTAGACGTTGTTGCGGCAGATGGAGTTGATGACGGTGGGCAGCACGGCGGGCATGTCGTCGTGGACGTTCTAGGTCTCAAAGTAGATGGGTGCGTGCATCGTCTCCATGACCTGCTGCACGGCGCCAGTGACTAGGGGGCCAGTGATCTCAATAACATATCTAAAGATAATCCTTGCAAAACTGATGGTGAAGGAATGAACTGGTAGAGATAGCAACAACAAAATGATAAGAATAGCATACAACAATGCATCCTGTTAAATCTGAAGACATGTTAAAACCTGAATCTGTAAATGTCTCATTCTAGTTCATGTTTGGATGATGCTCCCTTTAATGCAAAACTACATGGATAATGGTTATCGATATCACATTCAAACAAACTGAAGTTCAAGACAGAGACAGGTGCACGCATATCAACCAATAAACCTATACGCTAGCATAGACCAACATTATCAATGGTCCAACCACACATAATTTATCCAGCAACATGCACGCAATATAAAGTAGAATATTGACTCCTAATCTGTAAATCAACCGTTAAATCAAATATATGAAGGATGTAACCATTTCAGTCAGCAATAAAAATGGCAATTGGTTCAAGAATCCCTCCATCCGGATTTATTAGCCCCCCCCCCTCGTATTTTGGGTCAATTGACTAAAAAATATGAACAAAAAGTATACTGCTGGATTTGTATTCGAAAGAGTTTTTGACGGTATAATTTTTTATGAAATATAGTTTACACTTTATTAGTTAAATCTATGGTACTTTGACCCAAAAATTAGAGGGGGCCTACTAAACCCGGACAGAGGGAATACAAGATTAATGAACACTTCAGTAGTTTAGTTGCAACTGTACATTGCACAATACTTCCTATAGCTGTAGGTCAACACTTAAACTAACAAAATAGCATAGCTTGTACATGTAACTACTCAAAGTGTTACCAACTAATCATCCAGAAAAAGGAAACTACCACTTTGTTTTGACTTTTGATAGTTCCAATTGTCACATTTATGACAAAAGACATCGAAATGCTCTCGAAATGAGCTTTCCAAAAGGATGTATGTGGAATGACATATTAGCTACTTCTCCAACTCACTTATGAGGTCCCAATCTAATTTTCACATTTTGCAGCTCAGACCTCATGAGATTCTGACAGATGCTAGCAAGAATTCAAATTTTGTTGAAAGAGAGATGGCATGCGCAGATTAAGGGAAACATAGCAAAATCTATAAATGCTGCAATAAGATGAACTGACACTCTATGTCCTGTACATGCAGAATTGCACACACGGGCCATGTATATGCAATGCAAGCATATTACATATCCAAGCAATGCAATCTCTTTTGAACAAACAAATGCTACATTGTTCACACAATTTATGAGCACTTATAGGTTAACAAGAAAAGCAAGGGGTTTCTCTAATGAATAAGATCTGATTTAAACAGGCAAAAATAGATCACGCAGAAAGAAGTTGTTATTAGTAGTGGGCCCCCTGCTGTTCGAATCAGCACGTCCAACAGAGACCGGTTTAACCTTTTTATCTGGTAACTATTTCATATGAAAACTCTACCTTAGCATTTGAAGGGGGAGTCAAGTCTTGACAATCAGACCTAATAAGTTATATCCAGTTTGCCAACTAACATGCCAAAATTCCTTGGATTCTGACTAAAATATGTGCACGATATTGCTTGCCATGCAAATGTTGTTTCATGTGAGTCTAATAACCGATGCACAACCAAAGCGATGCATATTTCCACGTACCCAAACAAATGAATTTTACAGAAACACATCAAGCAAAGCATTGAGCGAACTCGGACCTGACGGAACAGACGCTTATTGCACTCCTCCGCCTCCTGAGCAAGCCTATCCAACCTCCTTAGCATCCCGGAATACATCTCCTCCTCGGTTGCTTGCTCTCCGATGTTTGCCGGCGGAGGCGGCAGCCGCGGCATTGGCGACTCCGGGGCAAAGGTGTGGCACTGGTACTGGCCCCGGTAACGAGGACCCACGTTGACGATCGTGAGGGAGGTGGGGACGAGGCGGGAATCAACGAGGAGGAAGGCGCGGTGGGCGAACGAGTGGATGGAGAGGTCGGAGGCGACAGAGGGGGCTAAGAGGAGAAACACGACGGGGTGGGCGAGGGCCAGAGATTTGGATAGGGAGAGGGCGACGGCGGCCTCGCGCATGGAGGGGCGGCGCGTCGTGCACGCGCTGTGGCGGGAGGAGAAGAAGCCGACGGTGGCCGTGCCCGAGCGGGCGGGGAAGTAGGGCTTGAAGCAGCTAAGTGCGTTGGAGAGGGCGGAGGGTCGGGCGAGCGAGGAGTGGCCGGTGACGTAGATGTGTAGGGTTGGGGCCGGATCGTCGTCGGAGAAGGAAGGGGGGAGGGCAGCACGGCTGAGGAGTATCCCGTCGCAGTCCCCGCCGGCGGCCGCACAGCAGTCGAGGAGTGCCGCGAAGGCCTGAATGGAGACCGAGAGCTTCGCGGCGTCGGCGGCGGCGGCGGCCATTCCTGCTGGACTGCGATGCGATCTGGGGTTTGGCCGTTCGGGGGGCTGCTTCGTCCTTGGAGCGTGTACTTATCGGTCGACTATTTTCCACCTCAGTGTCAGTTTTCGAACTACCGTCAGATCTTTATGCAACGGCTCAGATTCGTCCCCGCGCGTACATCTGCAGTCACAACATTCTTCACTCTTGTACATCTATCTTTGATGGATTCAGTCTTGTACTACATTTTAAGGTGCTTATAATGGTATCACAATTGTCATGTAGCTCTTTCTATGTGATGGTGAAACGGCGAGAGATTAGAGAAAGGCATGCATGCTGACTTATTCAGAACTTGGTTTCTTCATGAGCTCAATGATGGGTTGCTTCCTCAACATGGCTCCGTTATTTAGACAATGGCAAAAAAACTAAAAGCAGCAGTGGCACTGATGTTATAAGGACTTAGGCCAGCGTTCAATGGGACTAGAGGAGATGGCGTGCTCCGCCACGCCTGGCTATTGTTACCTACTCCGTAAGGTGATTTTAGGTTGATTGGTTAGACGTAGTTTCTTTGTGGGGTGGTCGGATCGATGTAGGTTAAGGCTTGTGTATCTATCTCTCCTATTTTTCTTTTCTTTTTTCGAGGGATCGTCAACATGAGCTTCTTTTTGTAGATGCATATTGGTTTGTGGCAGTGATGTGGTATGGGAGCAAATATTATTTGTTGCTTATACAATGCTAATATCAAGAGAGTGTCCAAGTCGTACGAGGCATACATCGTGGCCTAAGTACTGATGATGCGTACGATTTTACATGATTCTTCATGGATAGTTTGGTTTTCTCTGGGGTAATGTGGGTATGTCGTTGCACATTTTTTGTGTTCCTTGTGTTTCTTTCCTTCTATTTATCTTTTTTTTACTTTTTCTTGTTCTCCTTTTATTTTTCATCTACTTATTCATTTTTCCCTTTCTTTTCCCTTGTTAGAAATTAAATAATTTAAAAATTTGAACATTTTATAAAAGTAACGAACAGTTTTAAAAAGTGCATAAAAAATATCTAGAACGCGTGAAATTTTTTTGAATGCATGAACACTTTTTTAGATGTGTTTTCCAAAAAGTGTGAACATTTTAAAATAATGAGTGAACCTTTTCTCAAATGCATGAAGACTTTTCAAAAAAATACACTTTTTTAAGAAGTGTGAAATATTTTTAAAATGTATGATTTTTTAAATTATATAAAATTTTAAAACACAAGAACATTGTCTTGAAATGTTTTTTTCTTTAAAATTTATTTGAATGTTTCCTAAAACATGGGAACAGCTTTTCAAATTAATTACATTGGTAAACACGTTCTAGATGCATGAGCATTCTTTTTAAATATACTAACACTTTTCAAAAATAGATTATACTCCGCGCATTTATGCGGGACTTCCTGCCTTTCATGAGCAGGAAACATTCACATATGGGATGAATGAACAGGAAATATGGCTTAAAATGTTGAACAAATACATTCATATTCAAAAGTTGATGTTGGGGAACCAATAGAATATTGATATTTACATTAGTGTCGGAACTGCATAACTATACATATATTTATCTCTACGTGCAGATTCCTCACCTCGGTAATTTGGTTTGCCTCTAACAATATTTAATTGATTTTGGTTCACTTGGTTGGCCTATAGTGACTTCAAGTGAGGCATCTGTTCACCTGCACACGAATGTTCAAATTTCTGGTGGCAAGTATTAACCACTGGAAACAAAATATGGACATAAGAATTAACTATTACCATAAGGCACAGGGGCTCGCCCTAGCTAGGGGGGTGGGTGCGCCCCCAGCCTTGTGGCCTACCCCAACACCCCCTGACCTAATTCTTTGTTCTATATATTCACAAATATTCCCAAACCACCAGAGGCATCCACGAAAACACTTTTCCACCGCCGCAACCTTCTGTTCCTGTGAGAACCCATCTACGGGCCTTTTCCGGCATCCTGCCGGAGGGGGATTCAATCACGGAGGGCTTCTACATCAACTCCATTGCCCTTCCTACGAAGCGTGAGTAGTTTACCACAGACCTACGGGTCCATAGCTAGTAGCTAGATGGCTTCTTCTCTCTCTTTGGTTTTCAATACCATGTTCTCCTCAATGTCCTTGGAGATCTATCGGATGCAATCTTCTTTTGCGGTGTGTTTGTCAAGAAACGATGAATTGTGCATTTATGATCTGTTTGTCTATAAATATTATTTGAATCTTATCTGAATTCTTATATGCATGATTTGATATCTTTGTAATTCTGTTTGAACTATCAGTTTAGTTTGACTAACTAGATTGGTTTTTCTTGCAATGGGACAAGTGCTTAGCTTTGGTTCAATCTTGCGGTTTCCTTTCCCAGTGACAGTAGGGACAACAAGGCATGTATTGTATTGTTGCCATCAAGGATAAAAAGATGGGGTTTACATCATATTGCTTGAGTTTATTCCTCTACATCATGTCATCTTGCTTAAAGCGTTATCATGTTCTTCATGAACTTAATACTCTAGATGCAGGCAGGAGTCGGTTGATGTGTGGAGTAATAGTAGTAGATGCAGGCAGGAGTCGGTCTACTTGACACGGACGTGATGCCTATATTTCATAATCATTGCCTTGGATATCATCAGAACTTTGCGCTTTTCAATCAATTGCTCGATAGTAGTTTGTTCACCCACAATATTATTTGCCTTCATGAGAGAAGCCTCTAGTGAAACTTATGGCCCCCGGGTCTATTTTCCATCATATTAGTTTTCGATCTACTATTTTGCAGTCTTTTACTTTCAGATCTATAAACCAAAAAACCCAAAATTATTTTAATTTTGTTTATATATCTCTATTAGATCTCACTTTTGCATGTAACTGTGAAGGGATTGACAACTCCTTTACCACATTGGGTGCAAGTTGTTTGATTGTTTGTGCAGGTATTGGTGGCTTGTGTGTTTTCTCCTACTGGATTGATACCTTGGTTCTCTAACTGAGGGAAATACTTATCTCTACTTTGCTACATCACCCTTTCCTCTTCAAGGGAAAAACCAACGTAAGCTCAAGAAGTACCAGGAAGAATTTCTGGCGCCGTTGCTGGGAAGATCTACGCCAAGTCAAGACATACCAAGTACCCATCATAAAACTCTCATCTCTTGCATTACATTATTCACCATATGCCTCTCGCTTTCCTCTTCCCCACTTCTAAAACGATTTTCGAAAAGATTGCCCGTGACTGGAGGACCAGGGTCAGAGACGACCACGCGTTTGACTAGGGAATCATGGAGCCGGTAACCAGGGAGTTGTTCTGAGGGTGGCGAATAGGGATAACCAACCGCGTGGTACGACGGCAGTAGCAACGGCGATCAGGAAATGTTGTTACGTTTATAACGAGACTATACTAACCTCAGGAAATCAACGATTAGTGTACCGCTCCCTCCACTCTATAGTAGTATAAGGTACGAAATGGAAAATTGAGCGGTTCTAGCATGTACTGGTAGATCTGGAGCCGATCGTTGTAGTCTGAAGATCATGCAACATTGTATAGTATAAAAAGTGAAGTATTCTGTTTGGGAAATATATAGCTATACAGCCTACAAACATGGTACATGGGTCCCGTCAAATGTTAGCGTTTGATCAGATGACACTGTGTCTTGTATGCATGTGCTTCCCATTCTTTCTCTTCTCTCTCCCAAACTAATTCATCCATTTATTTCACCTTTGCTAACTTAAAATCACTCATATCTCTTAACCAAACTTCCGATTTTAAAACTTTTTATATATTTGAACTCATGCCACAAAGACCTTTAAAACAAGACCGATTTCGGATACATTTCAAGTGATTTTAAAATTTAAGCAACACATTTAGCATATTTCACTCGCTTGAAATCTTATGAATAAAATGACTTGAATCAGTTTCAAAAGTTCTTATTTCGGTTTTATGTTGTTTTTCACATTCAGAACTTACATTTTACTTTTCACTGGCTTATATCAGATAAATCATATCTACTTCAATTGCAAAATTTTGAACGAACATATTTCACTATTTTAAAATAAACCGTTCACATTTGAAAATGATCGGTCTCACAAGTTGCCATTTCAGTTCATATTGTCTTTCACGTTCAGAAGTTACATTTCACTTTTCACTGGCTTGTTTTACAGAAAATCACTAATTTCAGTTTCACATTATTGAAATAACACATTTCACTCCTTTTAAATAAACTATTACACATTTCAAACATTTAAATTTCACAAGTTGACATTTCAGTTTAACATTTTTTCCACTTTCAGGAGGTACATTTCACATTCACTGTCTTGTTTCACAAAAATCACATCTACTACATTTACATATTTATAAAATAACATATTTCACTATTTTGAAATAAACTGTTACACATTTCCAAATAATCAGTTTCACAACTTGACATTTCATTTTCATATTTGGGTTAAGTACGTTTCGGTGAAACAGGTTGTTTCCACATATTTCTAGTGAAATTGGTTTGTTCCATATTTTTGTAGCGAAATATGTGTTTTCACGTATGAAATGTGAAACGTCAAAATTCAAGCATGTTCGAAATGTATCCAAAATTAGTCTAGTTCTAAAGGGCTTGACACTAGGAGTCCAAATATATAAAACGTTTCAAAACGAGTTTATTGTTTAAAAGATATGAGTGATTTAAGTTGTCTAAGTTGAAAT